TTGAATATATAAACTTTTGTGTATTACACTTCAATAAGATGGGGGGAAATAAATTATAGTAGACAATACAAGAGGAGAAAAATAAATAGACTTTCATCTGGAAGAATCAAAATGCTTTGTATGTTAAAAGAGCCTCAGGAGGAACTGACCACTATTTCACACAACTTTTGTTAGAGCTAATTAAACTTTTCTTGTCAAATGATTTATTTCTATTCATTGTTTTCGTTATCACATTTTGAGGTAATTTAGTGGGAACATAAAATTGTTCAGTGATCAAAAACTGATGAACATTTTGAGGTAATTTAGTGGGAACATAAAATTGTACAGTGATCCAAAAATGACGAACAAGTTGGAATAAAACAAACCAAATATTGGCTTTATGAATCCATTAAGTTTCAAGTCTTCAACTCTGTGAATATTGCAATGACACTGACACAAGTATGTTAAAATAGGCTGAAAATAATCTAGAGCTTCATATATAATTTATTATCAACATGTAATTTGTAATATTAATGAATATTATCAGAAATCATTCATCTATTACTTTTCTCAGAAGTACAGAACTCCAAAAACCTAACTATTTTAAAGTTACCCTAAATGGTATATTTGTTGTTCAATTTAAGTTTTATAGGTGTTCCATAAATGTGATGACAGGACATAATGGGTTAAGAGAGGAAGGGAAATTGCAGGATATATCTTTTTTATTTTTATTGTTTGTATTCTTTTTTTTTATTGTTGGTCGTTCAAAACATTACATAGTTCTTAATACATCATATTTCACAATTTGATTCAAGTGGGTTATGAACTCCCAATTATACCCCATATTGATTGACAAATTGCCTTTCTACTGTCTGATGTATTCTGCTGTCTGTCCTATTCTCTACTATCCCCCCTCCCCTCCCCTCCCCTCCCCTCCCCTCCCCTTTTCTCTCTCTACCCCTTCTACTGTAAATCATTTCTTCGATTTGTATTATCTTATTGTGGGAGTGAAATGAGAGTAACAGAACTCCACATTTAAGCAAAATAATTCATTAATGAAGAAACCTCTCTCTAGTATAGTAGCCGAGAATCTTAAAGTTGCACAAGAATAAGGAAGAAAGTTAGGAATTGTCTGCTTGAGTCACTGCAGACTTTCTTTCCTTTCTTCCCAGACTTTTTGCCACTTTCTTCCCTATTTTGTGAATTTCTTTCTTATTGAAATGAAGCAACTAGCTCAGTGATATTTTTACTGTATCCAATCATTTGCATTGAAAAAGAGTTCCATATTTATTGATTTCTTACTTTGGCTTATTATGGTCTTACAGATACATATAATGTTTTTAGGATTCAGTATAATCAGCCTTTGAAGGTTTTTCTTTAGAAATGACCAAGGGAATTGTTTTTTTAAAAAAAAAACTTCAACAAAAAAGAAAGATATACTGTGTCCCAGGCTCAAATTAAAAAGTGTAAAGAATCTATTGTACCTAAAATAAGTATTAATTCACTAAAATCCCAAGATCCTTAGCATCCTTTGGTGGGTAGTTTAACCAATAGATCTCACATTTACCAAAAATAAAGGGCGAAAGGGTCACAAAAAACGTTAGGAATATTTTTATGGCTTCTGTAAAATATAAGTAAGAGACATGCAATCTCTCCCCCTCCCCCAAGGAAATCACTCGCTCTAGGGGGTCTGAATTGATATTGAACAGACATATCTGTGATTGCACTTTAAAGTTCGTTTTAAACAACATTTCTTTCTTTTAGCTGTGTTTTGATTTGACTTAATGACTCCTCGCTCTGAATGAAGGAACGACCTCCCGCTTTTCCCATCACAGGGAGGGGGCGGAGCCTCTTCTAGAGGCTTGGAAGCAAGCGGAGCCTGGCCAGTCATGGGGGAGGAGCCGAGTTACATACAGGCTTCGCAGGCTTCCGTTGAAGAGAAGGAGCTTGGAGGTAACGGCTGTCGTAAAAGCTGGTTATTTTCAGAGACTTCTAGAAGATTTGGTGTAAAGGTGAAAAGAGAAGAGAGTGTTGATGTGGCGTAATGGGAAAGGAGAGTCGGTTTTTGTGTGAGTCGTTGATTCTGTAAGGGAATCACTACCTCGTGTGAGTCGTTATTTCTGTGAGGGAATTAATATCTGGATTTTGTATTCCTTAAAATATTTTAGAAGTCCACAGTGGGGGAGGTAGTGATCAGATTACACCTGCGGGGGGGGGGGGRGGAATTTTTTTCATGCGGTTGCCAAACCGAACTTTTGAAGAAGGCATTTTGTTTCAATTAAAAACCGGTACTGGCTAGAATAAACGATGAAACAAAACTTGGGAAATCAATTTTCCTTATTTTGAAAAAAACAGTTATGATAATCCTAAATGAAAATGAAGTTGTTTGTTAGGGATGTTTTGTTTTTTATATGTCTTTGATCGTGTTGATTGTGTTTCAAGCAAATCATTGTTTTGTCGGAGTTTGTATAGTGACCTGAAGTAACATATAATTGCGCAGTTTCAAGTACCTAAGAGAATTGGGAGTTCGGTTATTTGTTCAGTGGATACACAGTATTTTAAGAGTTGTTTTGTTTAATAATGTGCAAAAGGTGATCTTTGTCTACATCTCTACCTATGGAGAGAATGGTATGTTCCTATTTGTATGATAATATAAAACATACCTGAGAGACCATAAGTAATTCATATATCTGAATACAATAAAGCAAATTATATCTAGTAATAAAGGATGTCTAGTAATAAAGGCTATCAAGGGGGGAAACAATAAATTTTCTCCTTCACTATTTCACTAAATGTGTAGTATCTGTATCAGCATAAAAAAAAACTGCAGTGAGGATTTAAAGTCTTGGGGGGGCTACCTTCTCCAAAATGGTATAAATTTATTTAAAAAATGAAAAGATGTTAAAATATGTAATTGAATAAAGAACTTTGAATATTTGTATATGTGTGTGATGAAGGAAAAAAAATCAAAGGGATTAAGTTAAAATATAAGTAGTGTATAATGCAGGGACTGGAGTTCTGATGAAGTGTATTTTCTTATTTAAATTTTATGAACTTCCAGACTCTCTGTGTATATCAATGGAGCTGAAAGGGAAATAATAAATTATGTTAAAATACCTGAAGAAATACCCACACACATTCCACTGTGTTTAACTGAAGTTTGGTTTTTCTGTGGATCTGAGAAGGCTAGTTACCTGGTTGTTGTTCTGTTGTTACAATGTAAATGTTAGACTATTCATTCAAGCAGAAGCTATTCATCTATATATTACTGAGAATTAAGAACAATTTTAAAGTGTTCTGTGGAATAGTGATGTAGGATAGTAAACCCTTAATGTTGAATACTACTTACCCATAAAAAGAAAGAACTATATCTAAATTCAATGAAGAAAAGGTATCCAGTGTATATTTTTTGAAAGCAAATTGGAGAATGGCCTGCATCATACAATCCCACCTTTTTCAAAAAAGAATACATACAGTGTATGCAAGCAAAATCTGGAAATATAATGCTATTTTTTAAATTGTAAATAAAAGTGGAGTTGGAGACACAGAACACTTTAGGCTTATTTCTTCATTTTTAAAAAACAAGCTTGAGGAGTTGCAGCTGTGGCTCAGAGGTAGTGTACTTGCCTGTCAGGTGTGAGGCACTGGGTTCGATTCTCAGCACCACATATAAATAAAGGACTATCAAAAACTAAAAAATAAAACTAATTTTTTAAAAAAAAATCTGGAATTATTTGCATTATGAGAAAATGAGATAATATTTTAGAAATATAGAAAATTATTGTAAAGTAATTCATAAAAAGATAATAAAATAGCTATTTTTTGAGAGAGAGAGAGAGAGAGAGAGAGAGAGAGAGAGAGAGAATTTTTTAATATTTATTTTTTAGTTTTCGGCAGACACAACATCTTTGTTTGTATGTGGTGCTGAAGATCGAACCCGGACCGCATGCATGCCAGGCGAGTGCGCTACCGCTTGAGCCACATCCCCAGCCCCTAAAATAGCTATTGATATTGAAGATGACCAGATATATTATTGAAGGAATACAAGTTCTGGTTTCAAAAACCATACACATTTATAAGTATTTGTAGGAAAAATATAGAAATTATATATAGAGTTTCCATACATATTTTAACCATTGTTATAGGAATTTGCTTTTGTCTTTGGAAATTCAAAAGATGGAAGATATGCAATGTACACAAGAGATATCACAATGATAGATACTAAAATTATGACGTTATGATCCTATTTTTGTATAACACATGCACACAACTTCTTAAGCTGAATGAAAAATTCCAGAAGCCAGAGAAGGCTACTGTCTAGATGACTATAGTTCCCTAAGGACCTAAGAGTCTGCAGTTCTTGTTCTGGCCACAAGATGGCGCTTGCCTGGTTTCCTAAACTTTCTCCAGACAACCATTTTTATGGAATGGATAAACAAAGCTGTGAAGCATATTTTGTTTTAGCCTACTTTGAGACAGTATGTAGAGTGTGATTGAAAATCTGTTGAAAGTTATATGTGTATACTAGAAAAACCTCCACACAAGGACTGATGTGAGGAATCACACATAATGTATTAAAAGTAGCTACACAGCATTTTGCTCATAGTAGACACAAAGAAGTTTTTACTTCCCTTCTGTCATGTATCCACCTCCTAATTTTCCTGAGGGAGATGACTTTAGCATGAATTTAATAATAAATGTGTAACAGAAAGAATTTCACACACTCGAACAGCACAAAGGAAAATAAACATGACATCTACATCAGAGATTCTGTGTTTCATAATGACTACCTGTTAGAGTTTTGGTAAGCAAATTTTCTTATGCTTTTCCCTTCTTATGCTTTTCCCATTTTATTGTTTACTGTCTTTCTTTTGGACAGTCTAGGTTAATACCAGAGGTGTACACAACTTGAACAATCTGCCTGTGAATCCAGTTAAGCCCCAGAAAAGCAGCAGGGCAACCAAAGTGCCCAGCAGGGTAAAAGCTCTGCTGTGTAAGCAGTTAGAGTGAAAATTAGGCAGCTGGATCACAGGACCAAACCAACTACGATCCAGGTGACAGAGGGTAAGTCTCTTCCCATTTCATAAAATAGTGCAATGAAAAAATTTTGAGATCATGAAGGATAATTTATTTTGCTTCCTGCTTTGCAGTTGTAGCATCTTTTTTGTGTATGTGTGGAGCTGGAAATCCAACACTGGGCCTTGCACATATTAGCAAGTGCTCTACCACTGAGCTATACTCCCACCCACAGTCATAGCATCTTAAATTTGAAATATCATTTTATATTTAACTTATGCTTGATTGAGAATTTGAGGTATAATTCATTTGGCTCCCCATTCTGCATCCACAGTTTTTTTTTTTAATTAAAAGTTATAACTTCTCATTTTGAGAATGTATTAAACCACTATGAAGAAATCATGCAAGAGGCTTTTGAGGTGTCTACCTGAGGTTCCAGCCCATGGCTTACTCTCAGAACCTTAACAACTATACTAGATTGTCATCACCAAGTACTAGATAATGTAGTTAGAGATTTCCTAAGACTTCTTAAAGTCTTATGACCTTCCCTAGATATCTGTGTACTCTCTAGAATAACATTTGCAATGGTTTAACACATTTAATTATTTCCCAGCAACCATCATAAAACTCTGACTCTTAAGGTCAGGTCGTGCTTTTATTGAAGTTGTTGGTATTGAATACCACTATCTGGTTGCCTTGGAAAAACAGGAAGCAGTAGCAGCTTGCAAAACATTAAAATCCAGCATTACTTATGATAACTCAGAGAGATCCAAAAGGATCTGATATCCCAGGCACACAAATAACATTCCTAATTTCCAAAAAAACTCTCCTATACACATTCTCTTCTTCTTATACAAGAGAAAAAATAAACATAGGGTATGGGTTTGTGTTGTGTAGTGCTTAACTGTTTTTGTTTCTGGCCCCCAAAGTATGTCTCAAAACTCTTTTGTCAATTCAATTTATTGTTCTGACTTGTATCTTATCTCTATTCCCCATTGTTGGTCAGCCTTCTTTATGCATAGCCAAGTAAACATTTTATCTCATCTTTTTCCCCCCTGCCATGTTTTAATCTAATCCAGTTATCATTCACTGAAAACACCTCATTCAAGCTATTGTGAAGTTTCAGGGGAATAATAAAAAGGCTACAGCAAGTAAGAACCATTTACTTACTCTAAAGGCTCTTAAGTAAGATGTCTTCAAAAAACACTGCTTTCTAGAAAACCAGGTATCTACAGTTTTTTATTACTATATCATAAATGTAGTTTAATATTTGATGTTTCCATAACCTAGGTTAATATCAGAGATGCACATTACCTATGAATCTTTGTGTCCATGCATCTTTGTAATAGAATGTAAATATGACCACCTAAATAGTTGTCAGGGATTTAGAAGTTTTCTTTCTACAGCGCTAATAAAGTCTTCAAACCCACAACTGTCTGACTTCTTGCCTGACTGTTTAAAGAACCCTTGATGTCCCTTTTAGAGTGGTTATAGAATAATGTTGTTCCAGCCTGACCCTTCTGTTATAGAACTCTGGAAAAATGATGGCTTCTTCTTTCTTTAGAGTCCCCAGTGCAAATAGGTTTTTTTTTTTTTTTTCCCTCTGTTCATTACAGGAAAAGTTGAATTGGTAGAATGTGGCAGGAGATACATTTATCACAGATACACTGTGATCATGGATGGGATTGTTTGAAAATTTTAGAATTTATGTTTTGAAATTTAGCAAGCATTTTCTTAAGAGACCTAAACCTCAGAATCATCAGTGTGTAAGTTTTAGCATTTCCTAGGAAATAACCTTAAAGTTAAAGGAATAAAAATCTTAATTTTTGTCTTAATCTTAAGGATTTTGTGGAAAAGCTCAGCAAAAGATGATAGAAACACAGTTTCCCATATTGAATTGGTAATTATAAACAACAAAGCACAGGAACAAAGAATTGCCAATTGTTAATAAGGGTGAAATGAAATGGGCACTTTATTGCATGAAAAATGATTTTCATTGCTTGTCCAGGAATAGGCATATCTAAAAAGGAAGTTATTGCCAAGACCAAGCAACAGAAAAAAAGACATGTCATAACTGTTCTAAGGCCAAGTGAGTGCTGTCATGTAGATACACTCACTGCAGAAGCATAGTCCACCAAAATATTTTTAAGTTTGTGTGACAATGTAAGAGATGGAAAGAGTTCATGAATGAGTATGGTAAGTTACTGAAGATGGTCATAGTTCACCATGTGTTACCCAGCAGGAACATGAAATTAAGCCGCACTCACTCTGGGGTTATATGCACCATTTTCCTCACAATTTCAAAGTAAATAACATAATCTTTGATTTTGCTGAAGAGACAGAATTCCAGGCCCAGGAGATGGTGACTACTGGTGAAGAAAGTGAACATCCTCATGTTTGGGGGTCAGACTCTGGCTCTGATTTTATCTTGCCTTCTTCCCAGATTTGTTATCTTGGGCATGAGTGTGAAAGCATCCATTTTCTTGCTGACTGTTCACTGTGTCATTTCTTTGCTTCTTTTCAGTCAAACTAGGCAGAAAAATGACATCTCAGGTCTATTTAAGGTCTATTTACATTTACATCTCTTTATTAGGGAAAGTTTTAATTGGTCAGTTTTAATTTTTATTTTGAATTTTGAGAAGCCATAATAAACAGCATCTCCTTTTCTCTACTGAACAAATTGATATAAAGTAAATGGAATTGTAAATGGAAGACAAATGCCAGTTTTAGTACAAGGGAAAAGTTGCAGGGCATTGACTATTATAAAAATCAATTGGGCTTTATAAACCTGTAATTTAAGCACATCTAATCAAACAGCTTGCAGACTTGTAAGTACGCAAGGACAGAGATACCTGTGGTTGCATTGGATTATCTTGCTCACAAAAAAGTAAACAGAATTATTCCCTCAAAATATTGTTCTTTGCCCATTTTACTTTGCTATTTATTTCTTAGTAATATGTAAAAACTGCTTTAGGATAATGATATTTTTTGCATTGAAAACAGTCTTAGAAAGCTATTCTGTTTTCAGCATTGTTTTATTGTGTTTTACCCTAGCATTTTTTAAAAATTTTCAGTTATGTTCAGATATATACCTCATTAAGGACTTCTGGTTGATTATTTATATCTAGAATTCATTATAGTTGTAAAATCTATGAAACTTTCTGAAAGATAAATAGGAAGACCTGAATAAAAAAGAGAAGTAGCATAGCCCAGTACAAAAAGAATTTGTAGAGAATTAATTCTCCACAAAATAATGTGTTAATTTACTGCAATCAGAAATAAGGACCTAGTGGGTCTTATAAATGGAGCTTGACCAACTGGGTCTTAAAATCATTTGTAGAAATTAGGTGCCAAACTAATCAGATAATACACAAATCATATTCTTTGCTAGGTCTTTATTATATGCTAAAGACATTTCTACTTTTTTTAAAGGAAATCACCCACCCTTGTGGTTTGAATGTAAATTACAGAGACATGTGTTGCCATTCCGCTTTCAAGTGCTTTAAAAATGAACATTTTTCCCTTTAAGTGAATTTCAGTTTAACTTGGCAATTCTCTTCCCTCTAATTGAGGGAAAGGCCCCTTGCTTTCCCCCATCACAGGAGGGGGTGGAGCCTTCTCCAAGCAGCTGGGAAGTGAGCTGTGCCTGGCCAGTCTTGGGGGAGGGGCTGCATTTCAGGAGGCTGCAGCTGACAAGAAGCTTCAAGGTAATGGCTGTCTTTAAGCTAGTTATTTTCTGGGAATTTCTTGGGCCTTGGTGTTAAGGTGAAAAAAAAATAGAGATTGTTGCCTGGGAGAGGTGGGAATGAAACATGGTTTTGGTCGAATTGCTGTTACTGGCACAGAATTAATCCTCTGGAATTTTTGTTTCTCCCGATATTTTTAAAGTCCACAGTGTGGGAATAGGTGATCAGATTACAGCTTCTAAAATTAAGACTTCAGTGAGGCATACTGTACATGTTAATTTTTTACATGGAATTTCATGTTTCTGTCTTTGTTATACATTTTATTACATTTTTAAACATTAATATTCTACCCAAAAATAACTGATAGAAAAATGTAAACATTGAAAATGAATGACATATACAAACACAAAGATAAATGTACATATACATGGAAAGGGATTCAGATGTGCTTTTGAGTGATAACACTTGTAAAAATCTGCATTTTTATTGGGGGAACTAGGCTCTGGTGTTAACAGCATCTCTCAATGTTCAGATTGCTAAGTTTTTAAAAATGTATTTTAATTTGTTTCAGCATTTTTTAGAATTGCTTTTATTCTATAATCATTTTTATAATTAGAAGAACAAAATTTTGCTGAAACAACATACACATTATGTGTCAGACACATAAATATTCACAGGTACCCAGATATGTTCTCCTTTCTGACTCCCCCCCCTTTTTTTTGCCATTAGTGGAATTTTTCCTGGACCTGGTCAAATAGGTATCCTGGTTGCTGTTTCAAGTCCTGCCTGTGTCCTCACTGCAAATCATCCTTTCAGGCCACAGGTATAGCTGTGGTCAGCAAGAATCATTTTTCTTATATCATCTAAATTTAAAAGTGAGATTGAAAGAGGATTTGGTTTATTTCTATTAGCAGTTTTAAAAGTTACTACGTGGCATGATACTTCCATTGAATGGAACATTATATAGACAAAAAATAAACAATAAACGTATGAACTCAGTGATTCCAGAAGATGTCTGTGGCCAGGCATGGTATGGCACTCCTATAATCCCAGCAGCTCCAGAGGCTGAGGCAGGAGGAGCACAAGTTCAACGCCAGCATCAAAAAAAGCGAGGCACTACGCAACTCAGTGAAACCCTGTCTCTAAATGCCTCTAAATAAAGTACAGAATAGGGCTGGGGATGTGTCTCAGTGGTCAGGTGCCCCTGAGTTCAACCCCCCCCCCAAAAAAAAAAGGAAGAAGAAAAGATGTCTGTGAAGTAGTATTAGGTGAAACAAATTAAACTTCAGAAATGGAAAGCAGCATTGAATGTTGTTTAAGGAGAAAAAACTAAGTCAATAAAGTATGCATAAGCAAATCAGAAAAAATATATATATAAGGCATAGCTCCGAGGGTGAGGCAGAAAGATGGCAAGTTCTAAAGCCAGCTTCAGCAACTTAACAAGACCCTGTTTCAAATTTTTAAAAAGAGCTGGGGATGTGGGTCAGTGGTTAAATGTCCCTGGGTTAAATTCCTGATACTATACACACACACACACACACACACACACACACACACACAAATGAAAAGTGCAGTGTTTATGTGAGTGTGCATAGACAAGCAACTAACTTATGGAGTTATTTGTGTAGTTGAGGAGATATAACAAGCTTTACTATCTCTGTTTTTAAATGATTTTTAATTATATTTAGACATTTTCCAACAATAACCATAAAAAAACGATTGAGATAAAATGCTTCAAAGTTGGGAGGGGAGAATTGCATTTGAACTGATTCACTGAAGAATCATGTTGAGAATACTTACTAATATGGAAAAATGTTCAAACTGTAAGCTTAAGCAGGGTAAAAAAAACTGGCTTGAAATGATATGCATTAATGTACATATGTAATGAAAACTCTGGAAAGATATACAAGAAATAATAGTGTTCTTTCTCAAAGTATAATTTTTATATTTTTCTCATTTTCAGTAAGCATTCAGTGTTTCTTTTTTTTTTTTTAAAAAATAAGACCATTGCAGGTGAAGATATTTGGATTCTGTTTTTGTGTAGTGAATAACAAAGCTCTAAATTTGAACATAGTATATTCTAGAAGCCTGAGAAATCTGCTGGCTAGCAGGATATAATTCCCACCCCTCTCCCACAAGTATGTGTTAGTGATAGTTCTGGTTTTGGTCACAAGATGGCGCTTATCAGATAGCCTAAATTTTCTCCAGACAACTGTTTTTATGAAAGTGAGCCAACAGAGTAATGAAACATATTTTGTATTAGTGGACTATAAGCATGTAGAGTGTGATTGAAATTACATTGAAAAATGTGTGTGTGTGTGTCTAAGAGATAAAGCCCCAACCCAAGGATTCAAACAGAAAACAATAACCAAAAAATGCTGCTTCATAAAGTCTGGCCAAAATAGATATAAGGCAGATGTTATTTTCCTTCTCTTCTGTCTTCACCTCATTATTTTCCAAAGGGAGATGATTTCAGCATAACATAACTGTGTCACTGAGAGCATTTCATATTATAAGAACATGAGAGAAAAATAGATATAACATCTACATCAGGGATAGGATTTCACTTCATCCCTGTGTTTCAGAATAATATACCTGCTAGTGTTTTTGTTAGGGAAATTTCCTTATACTTTCTCCATTTTATTGCCTTAATTCACTCTCCTTCTGTTGTACAGCTGAGGTTAATATCAGGGTTGCATAGGACCTGAGAATCTGCATGTGATACCAGTTGAGCCCCATAAAGGCAGTACAATCAAAGAAATACCCAGCAGGGTGAAGACTGTGCTGGACAAGCAGTTGGAGTGAGAATCAAGACAGCTGGATCACAGTGCCAGACCCACCACAACCCTTGTGACAGAGAGTAAGACTATTCCCCATTTTATAAAAGTTTTTATATTAAAAATATATTGAGAATATGGAATAAAATGTACTTTGTTTCTGGTTTAGTGCCATAACATTCTAAGTTAAAACTACACATTCTAATGCTGGTCCTCAGCTTGCAATGCTTCAACTTATAATTTTTCACCTTTATAAGGAATAAGGATAGAAAACTAACTTTATCGGATAGTAGGACCTATGGTGAAGCTGTAACAATGAAAGAGTGTGGTATTGGTACAGTGCCCAGATTGGAAGAGAAAGAAGTAAATTATCTCTATTCACACATAACATCATCTTGTATACAGAAAATCTTATGGAACACACACACACACAAACACATACAAACCACCCCACCCCCTATTAGAACAGTGCAAAATCCATTGATATTCAGTAGAATCCATACTTTGAATTTTGAATTTGGGTATTTTCCAGGCTTGAATGTGAAGTACAACATACTTTCTTTCTTTTTAATTATTATTTTCCTTTTTAAATTAATTTTAAAATTTATTTTAATTATACATGAGAGTCGAATGCATTTATGTACTTTTATATATCATACATAGATGGGATCTAATTTCTTATTTTTCTGAGTATACATATTACAGAATCATATTGATCATGTAGTCACATATATACATAAATAATGTCCTATCCCCATATCCCCTACCTTCCCCTCCCATCACTTCCCTCTACCTAATCTAAGGTAAGGCTATTCTTTAGTGCCCCCCTCCGTCTATTGTGAATTAGCATCTGCATATTAGAGGAAATATTCAGCCTTTGGTTTTGTGAGATTTGCTTATTTCACTTAGCATGATATTCTCCAACTCCATCCATTTACTGGCGAATGTCATAATTTCATTCTTCTTTAAAGCTGAGTAATATTCCATTGAGTATACATACCACATTTTCTTTATCCATTCATCTATTGAGGGACACCTAGGATGGTTCCATAGTTGAGCTATTGTGAATTGAGCTACTATAAACATTGACACGGTTGCATTATTGCAGTATGCTGATTTTAAGTTCTTTGAGTATAAACTGAGGAGTGGGATAGCTGGGTCAAATGGTGGTTCCATTCCCAGTTTTCTGAGGAATCTCCATACTACTTTCCATAGTGGTTGCACCAATTTGCAGTCCCACCAGCACTGTATGAGTGTACCTTTTTCACCACATCCTCACCAACATCTATTGTTTTCTGTATTCTTGATGATTGCCATTTTGACAGGAGTGAGATGAAATTTTAGTATAGTTTTGATTTGCATTTCTCTAATTGCTAGAGATATTGAATACTTTTTCATATATTTGTTGACTGATTGTATTTCTTCTTCTGTGAAGTGTCTATTCAGTTCATTAGCCCATTTATTGATTGGGTTATTTGTTTTGTTGGTGTTAAGTGTTTTGAGTTCTTTATATATCATAGAGATTAATGCTTTATTGGAGGTGCTTTTGGTAAGGATTTTCTCCCAATCTGTAGGCTGTCTACTCAACATTGTTGATTATTTTCTTTGCTGAGAAAAGCTTTTTAATTTGAATCCATTCCATTTATTGAATCTTGATTTTACTTCTTGTGCTTTCGGAGTCTTGTTAAGGAAGTCAGATCCTAGGCTGACATGGTGAAGATTTGGGCCTATTTTTTTTCTCTCTTAGGTTCAGGATCTCTATTCTAGTGTCTAAGTCTTTGATCCACTTTGAGTTGATTTTTGTGCAGGGTGAGTGACACAGGTTTAATTTTATTTTGCTGCATATGGATTTCCAGTTTTGGCAGCACCATTTGTTGAATAGGCTATCTTTTCTCTAGTGAATGTTTTTGGCACCTTTGTCTAGTATGACATAACTGTATTTATGTGGGTTTGTCTCTGTGTCCTCTAATTGGTACCATTGGTCTACAAGTCTATTTTGGTACCAATACCATGCCATTTTTGTTACTATTGCTCTGTAGTATATGGTTTTTGTCTGGTATTGTGATGCTTCCTGCTTCACTTTTCTTGCTAAGGATTTCTTTGGCATTTCTGGGTCTATTATTTTTTCCACATAAATTTCATGATTGCTTTTTATATTTCTATGAATATGTAATTGGGATTTTAATAGGAATTGCATTAAATCTGTATAATGCTTTTGGTAATATGGCCATTTTGACAATATTAATTCTGCCTATCCAGGAGCACGGGAGATCTTTCTTCTGAGGTTTCTTTCAATTTCTTTAGTGTTCTGTAGTTTTCATTGTAGAAGTCTTTCACTTTTTTTGTTAGATTGATTCCCAGGTATTTTATTTTTATTTTCTTTGAGGCTATTGTGAATGGGATAGTTTTCCTCATTTCTTTTTCAGAGGATTAATTGCTGATGTATAAGAATGCATTTGATTTATGGGTGTTGATTTTATATCCTGCTACTTTGCTAAATTCATTTACTAGTTCTAGGAGTTGTCTGGTGGAATTTTTTGGAACTTCTAGATATAGAATCATGTCATCAGCAAATAGTGATAGTTTGAGTTCTTCTTTACCTATTTGTATCCCTTTCATTCCTTTCTTTTGTCTAATTGCTCTGGCTAGAGTTTCAAGGATGATGTTGAATAGAAGTGGTGAAAAAGGAATCCTTGTCTTGTTCCAGTTTTTAGAGGGAATGTTTTCAGTTTTTCTCCATTAAGAATGATGCTGGCCTTGGGCTTAGCATATATAGCTTTTAAAATATTGAGGTATGTTCCTACTATCCCTATTTTTTGTAGTTTATTTGAACATGAAGGTGTGCTGCATTTTGTCAAATGCTTTTACTGCATCTACTGAGATGATCATATGATTCTTGTTTTTAAATATGTTAATATGATGAATAATGATTATTGATTTCCACATGTTGAACCAACCCTGTATCCCTGGGATGAACCCCACTTGACTGTGGTGCACTATCTTTTTAATATGTTTTTGTATGCGATTTGCCAGAATATTATTGAAAATTTTGCATCTATGTTCATCAGTGATATTGGTCTGAAGTTTTCTTTCCTTGATGTGTCTTTGGTTTTGGTTTCAGGGTGATATTAGTCTCATAGAATGAGTTTGGAAGGAATCCCTCCTTTTCTATTTCATGGAATACTTTGAGGAGTATTAGCATTATTTCTTCTTTGAAAGTCTTGTAGAACTAGGATGCAATCAATCTGGTCCTAGGCTTTTCTTGCTTGGTAGTCATTGATGGCATTTTCTATTTCTTTACTTGAAATTTATCTGTTTAAATCATGTATAACCTCCTCATTCAGTTTGGGAAGGTCATGTCTCTAGAAATTGGTCTATGTCTTCGATATTGTCTATTTTATTGGAATATAAATTTTCAAAATAGTTTCCATTATCTTCTGTATTTCAGACGTGTCTGTTGTGATATTTCCTTATTCATCTTGTAGTAATTTGAGTTTTCTCTCTTTTTCTCCTCATTAGCATGGTCAGGGGTTTATCTATTTTATTTATTTTTCAAAGAACCAACTTTTTGTTTTATCAATTTTTTTCAATTGTTTCTTTTATTTCAATGTCATTGATTGCAGCTCTGATTTAAATTATTTCCTGTCTTCTACTGCTTTTGGTATTGATTTGTTCTCCTTTTTCTAGGGCTTTTAGATGTAGTGTTAGGTCATTAATTTGTTGACTTTTTATTCTTTTAATGAATGCACTTAATACAATAAACTTTCCTCTTAGTACTGTTTTCATAGTGTCCCAGAGATTTTGATATGTTATATCAGTGTTCTCATTTACCTCTAAAGATTTTTTATTTCATCCTTGATTTCTTCTACTATACACTCAATAGTGTATTATTTAGTCTCCATTTGTTACAGTAGCTTGTATTTTTTTATTTTGTAATTGATTTCTAATTTCATTCCATTTTGGTTTGATAGAATGAAGGGTATTATCTCTGTTTTTTGTACTTATTGAGAGTTGCTTTGTGGCATAGATATGGTTTATTTTATAGAAGGAGCCATGTGCTGCTGAGAAGAAAGTATATTTGCTTGTGGATGGATGAAATATTCTATATATGTCTATTAAGTCTAAATTATTGATTGTATTATTTAGTTCTATAGTTTCCTTATTTAGCTCTGGTTTGGAAGATCTGTCCAGTAGTGAGAGATGTGTGATAAAGTCACCCAGTATTATTGTATTATGGTCTATTTGATTCTTGAAATTAAGAAAGTTTTTTTTTATGTACATAGATGCTTCTTTATTTGGGGCATAAATATTTATAATTGTTGTGTCCTCCTTATATATACTTCCCTTAAGAAGTATGAAATGTCCTTCTTTGTCTCTTCTGATTAACTTTGGTTTGAAGTCTACTTTATCTGAGATGAGAATGGGAACCCCTGCTTGTTTACACAATCCATATGAGTGATAAGTTTTTTCCCATCCTTTTACCTTCAGCCTGTAGATGTTTTTGCCCATGAGATAAGTCTTTTGAAGATAGCCTAATGTTAGGTCTTGCTTTTTAATCCAGTCTGCCAATCTAGGTCTTTTGATTGATGAGTTTAGGCTGTTAACATTCAATRTTATTATTGAGATATGATTTGTATTCCCTGTCATTTTTATTTATTTCTGGTTTTTTATTTTTCTTAATTTATCATTTGGTTGAATGTCCCTTTAGTGTAGATCCTCCCTTTGCTGGTTTCCACTTCATCCTCATGGAATATTTTGTTGACAATGTTCTGTAGTATAGGCTTTCTAGTTGTGAATTCTTTTAATTTTTGTTTGTCATGGGAGGTTTTAATTTCATCTTCAAATCTTAAAACTCAATTTTGCTGGATATAAAATTCTTGATTGTCATCCATTTTCTTTCAGAGCTTGAAATATATTATTCCTGGACCTCCTAGCTTTGAGGGTCTGGGTTGAGAAATCAGTTGAGATCCAAATTGGTTTCCCCCTATATGTAATTTTTTTTTCTCTCACAGCCTTTAAGATTTTATCTTTATCCTGTGTTAGTCATTCTCATTATAATGTGTCTTTGTGTGGGTCTGCTGTA